AGCTACTCATTTACTCATTTACTCTCTCATCATCTTCAGTCTATCATGAGTGCTGCTGCTTGGTCAATGATCTTGCCATAGTGATGAAGAGTTTTACACAATTTCCTTGGTGATAGAGGGGCTGGTCATGGCCCTGTTGCCTTGGCAGTGGAAAAATATGTATTGTGATGGAGGGACTGATATCCACACCTTCAACAAATAAGAACCACATGGAGGTAGAGGTCATACTAGCCCTTACATGGCGATATAGGGATTGATCACAGTTATATTGCCATATAGTGGTATACATTAACCTTTATAATACGGAAGCTTCTATTCGAAATTTTTGTGGCCTCCTTATCAAACAGCTTAGAGCAGCTTAGTGGGAACATAGGTGCAATATTGGGACACTGCTCCCATTATTTCTTGGAAGAGTGAGTTCTGAGGTCAGCACTAACCACCTATGATGTGCAGTGTGTGGAGGGGATTTCAAGTTTTTTGTTTCTTTGGATTTTCCTCCAATTTTTTTTTACAATGAGTGCAGGTTAGAAGTGGGACTATCTGGGCAGGAGCAGAGTATTTTTTTTGCTAAATTACTAATTTTGTAGTATGATGGCCTTTTGCTGAGCTGTGTGACTATAGTTGAGTGATCTTACACATAGGAGCTGACTGTGTTAGTTGTTCCCAGGCACTGCTCTGGAACCACGGAATGTCATTTATTTACACAGGTCATAGATCTACATCAGGATTTCATAATGGTTAAACTGGTACTCATAGTTGAAATCTGCAGCTTTGAACTCTTCATAAATTCTATGGTCATATCTTTCTTTGGGGATATGTGTTGCATGCCAAAAGTAATGTTGCTAATTAGCAGAAAAATCAATTGCCAAGTTTTAATGCAGAGTGACAAATTGCTGGGTGAAAAGGATATTGGTAAAAAAATACAGCACAGTCATGCAGGAAAATGCTCTATGATGATTTGTCCAGAAAGAAGACTGTTACCTCACTGCATGTTGATTGTTTCAGGATGTGTTTACATAAATAAATGTTATCTTTTATATA